TCACAAGCACCTAGTGCCACAGGCACTATACCTGGGGCTATACCGGGGTCAGGCAGCACACACAAGTAGCAGTCACCCTCAGCACTAACAGTCAATGCATACATGGCAGCAAGAATAGCGTCATAGTCAAGATCAAAGATAGGTACATCACGCCTAAGCAGGTCTGCCCAGTTGGGGAACTCAGTAGCATCAGGAAACTTGACGCGCCAGGCGTCGCTAAGCCGAGCGAAGCAGCGGTACTCAGTATGAAACCCTGTGCACTGGCGACCAGCGCGAGGACCTGTGCGAATGATATAGGGGCAGCGACCAGGACCCCCAGACGCCCCAGGCCCGGCATACCAGTCAAGAAGCTGCTGGGAAGTGGGGGTCTGGCGCTGACGCTGCTGCGGTTGCTGCTGCTGTTGCTGCTGCCCCTGGCCACCACCGGTGTCACCCAAGCCCCCACCACCGCTGCCACCACTACTCCCCCCTCCGCCACCACCGCCGCCGCCACCGCCACCGCTCCCGGCACCACCACCGACCCCACCACCACCGCCACCCCCACGACCAACCCCACCACCTCCACCTCCCCCACCTCCACCACCGCCCCCTCCACTGCCACGTCCGCCACCCCTGCCACCCTTGCCTCCCTTGGAGCCGCTGCGCTTCCCACTAGGAGCGGAAGCAACTGCGACCTTCTCGGCACCAAGGAAGTCGACAGCAGCAGCTGCGGAGGCGTAGGTGGGGGTAAGAGGGGAGGGGGGGCATCCCTCAAAGAGGGGAGAGCGAGGAGTACCACGAGCAGCACCTACAGCGAGGATGTTCTTCTCTGCTGCTAGGAGGTGCTTCTCGAAGTCGGCGACAGTGAGAGTGGTAGGGTCTAGGGCTAGGATGTGGTCCCTGACGGAGCTAAGAGTGTCAGGGAGGCGGGTGACGAGGAAATAGAGAGTGAAGTACATCGGGGGGGGGGGGGGGGGGGGGTGGGGTTTGCGGCGCAGAACTCGGCTGGAAGGGCGGCACGAAAGCGAGTGTCACTAGTGCGAAGGTGAGAAATGAGGTCCTCAGCAGTGGTAAACGAGGTCAGGTCGGGGAACAGGTAGGGTAGCATGAGCCGACCTAGGGCTGCAGTGGCCGGGGAGGAGTAGCGCGCAACTACAGCGTCGTACAGTGCCTTAGCAGTTTTGTGCTGGCTGAAATGCGCGCGCTCAGTGATCGGCAAATGGTTCCTAATAGCTAGGCGTCCAGCAGCATCACGAGTCTGCCACTGTGAGCGTTCGAGAGCAGTAGCATCGTCAGCAGGAGCAACGGCAGTGCCAGACACGTAATCGAACAGTGAAACGCCGTCTTTGGCATTGGTCAGAAGGAACAGTTGGAGATCGTCGAGCCACACAGCGAACTCGATCGGGCGACCGTCAGGCTCAAACGCGAGAACATTAAGCGTCGCCATAATCGTAGTGCAGGTAAAGCCAGTAGGCAAAGGCAGCAGGCAGCAGGCAGTAGACAGTAGGCAGCAGGCAGCAGGCAAAGGCAAAGACAGCAGGCAGCAGGCAAAGGCAAAGGCAGCAGGCAGCAGGCAGTAGGCAGCAGGTAGCAGGCAAAGGCAGCTCAGGCAGCGCGCGGGGCAGTAGCAGGCCGCGCGTAGGCTGCAGCAGCGGGCCGCGCGTGGGCTCCTAAGGCAGCTCGCGGGGCAGCAGCAGGCCGCGCGCGGGCTCCTACAGCGGCATGCGGGGCAGCAGCGGGCCGCGCTGGCGACGGACGCGGCGCGCGGGGCCTAAGCGGGCCGCGCTGGCGACGGACGCGGCGCGCGGGGCCTAAGCGGGCTGCGCGTGGCGGCGGGCTGCGCGGGCTCGTCGCGGGCTGCGCAAGCGGTGCGCAGACGACGCGGGCTCGGCGCAGGCTGCGGGCGCGGCGCTACGGCGGGTTGTGGAGGCGGCTGCAGCAGTAGCGCGCGCTAAAAAAAAAAGGTACGCGCACGTGCAGCCGAGGCGCGCGCGGGCAGCAGGCAAGGCAGGCAGGCAGGCAAGGCCGTAGGTGAGGTAACGCGGTAACCGGTGGGCCCTAATCTTAGGTCCTAAAGACCTACTGCTCTGATACCATCTTAGAAACTAGGAAGCAATGTGGACTATCGAGATGATTTTGGTACAAGAAGGAAACCTAAGGGGTTGTACCCCACAGTATCTACCCCACTACAGCCTACCCAAAACTATAACATATATATATGTATGTTTGACACTTGCTTCATAGCCCATGTTGATCAAGTGCCCAACTTAAATAGTCGAATGCGTGCAGGGTATTTTCGAAACGTGGGAACAGTGCAAGGGTTCGGGGTTGAAAATAGCGGTGGTTACCGTAATCCCCCGTATATAGGACCCCCCCCAGTTGTAGACCCCCGGGTCTATAATACGGACCCGGGTACTCTATTCGAGTACATCTGAGTTATACCCCCTAAATGGCTCCTAACATTATAAGACCCCCCCACATACTAGAGAAGTGCGGATTTTACAAAAATATGCAATTGAAAATGGTAACGAATTTCGAATTTCAAATGAGTCAACACCCATTTTCAATGTGTTTGACTTTCGAAGGCTTCACTTGTTGCGCGTCCAGTCAGGATGAGCTGGCACGCGGGCAGAGTGACGTGCCAAATCTCTGTGCACAGTCAGGGAAACGCCCTCGCGCGATTCTGATTCAGGATGCTGTAAAAGTATGATTCCATCGAACTTACGAGACTGAAATGTACAACATCGTGCATTCTTATAAATGTCAATGTGAACAGACTCGGGTCTTCTAAAAAATATACCATTTAATTATACCTCCCAGCCTTTTTAAGGGTGATTATCATAATACCCTAGGGTCTTATATACGGGGGATTACGGGTAGGTGTACTGTATTTGAAGCAGAGGTGTTCAGAGGTGTTAGCTGTAGAGGAGCTCCAGGCACTGCGCCGCTTGGCTCGTGACGATGCCACCTTGGCCCGTTTCACATCCCTTCAGGGCCCGGGGGCAGGTGCATGGGTTTCGGCGGTTCCGGCTCACTCAGATCTCACATTCACTGCGGCTGAGTGGGGCATTGCTGCTGCTATACGGCTCGGCCTCCCAATCCAGCAGCTGCAGGTGGCGGGGAGGTGTGTTTGTGGCACAGCGTTTGTTGACCCAGCAGATCCGCACCATGCCCTGAGATGCAGGCATCAGCATGGTCCTTCTCGGGTGCATGATGAGGTGAAGTTTGCGGTGGCGAAGATCTCTAAGGCGTCGGGGGGGGTGGTGACAATGGAGGATAGTGTGGTGCTGCATGGGAAGCGGGTTGATGTGGCGGTGCGACGTCCAATGGCTGGAGAGGCTCACGCCCTAGAGATCAGCGTCGGGACCCGCTATCGCTGTCTCCATCACTGCTGGGACAGTGCGGGCGTCAAATAGGTGTGGCGGCAAGGGAGTGGGAGCGCCGCAAAACGAGTGACTACGCGCCTCTGCTTGCACGCAACCGGGGTGTGCAGTTCACCCCTTTGATAGTTGAGACGTGGGGGTGTCTCGGCGGTCGTTTTCAGCGGTGGCTTCGTCAGCAGGGGGATGCGCACGTGGGACTAGCTGTGTCGCGGGGGGCTTGTCGAGAGGACGACTCTGTGTTTTCGGCTTATCTTTTAGGGTCACTGAAGGCGCTCATCGGGGTGGCGTTACAACGGGCGCAAGCCCGTGTCATCCTGCTTCGAGCAGCGTCTTCCATGGGGGGGATTAACGTAGATTTGGTGGATCGGGAGAGGGACGATGTCGATGTGGAAGGCGGGGCTCTCTGGGTGGAGGCCCCGTACATGGTCGATACGTTGATGTGATTGAAGGGGGGAGGGGGGATGGGGTGTGGGATGGGATGTCTTGATGGGGTGTCTTGACTGGGCGTTTTGATTGGGTATCTTGAGTGGGGGTTTTATGTGTGCTGCATTCAGGGCTGACGTTTCAAAAAAACCCACTCTGAGGCAGGGGAGAAAAAGATTTCGTTTAGTCTGAGGGTCATTTCCCAAGTTCTGAGTACTCTGAAATGTCAGGTTTGAAAAAATCATTAGTCTGAAAAGTTTTAAGTTTGTAAAACCGCATCCGAGTTGGTGAATAGCGAATATCTGTCAAGCGAGTTTGGCCTAGGGAAAACGTTGCGGAGTTGGCGAGAAGCAGGAGTAAGAGGGGGCGGGGGAAGGGGGAGGGGGGAGGGGGGCAGGGGGGGAATTGAATGTAATTCGAGAGAGGGGGAGGGGGGAGGACTGAAATTCGGCAAATTCAGGGGCCATACTCCCTGTAGTCTCGAGTCTCAGTACCGTATCGCACAATGAAGTACTCTGAAATTTTCAGAGTTGAAAAACTAACAGGTCTGAGGCCTTCAGAGTTCAGAATACAGGAATACTGAAATTTCAGGAAAGGCGAAAAAAAGAGTCTGAGATTTCAGACAATCAGACTAAAATAGTCTGATAAAATCAGCCCTGGCTGCATTTGGGTTCTTTTTGGCAGTTTCATTTTCCTTCTCCCTTTCTTTCTTCATTCCCTTTCCTTTTCAGAAACACTATGGCGGGCAAGGTTTAGGTCCAGTGGGTTTCACGAATGGCTGTAGGTGCTTCGGTGTCTATGCAGTAAACTGTGTGTTTCCAGTATTTGGAACATCATTTAGACCACTATCAACATACTGGAACATATATTACTTTCAAGGTGACTTCTGAGTCGACTCAAAAGTCACCTTGTCGACTCAAAAGTCAGGTGTTCAGCGGCCAGCCAGCCTGTAACATCAATTTTATTGGAGAAAACAGCCACAGATATAATTCCACATCATCTGCAACCTGGATGATACAGGAGACACAACTCACCATGATAAATACTGTACTACACATCGAAATAAGCTAAACACCGTCCATCACCATCAGCGCAACAACCGTCAGCATAACAGATATAGAGATTCCACCAGCACTGCAGCATAAGAAAAGGTTGCGGCACAGCAGCAGCCTCACTCACCAATACCGTACTCATCAGACAGGCATGATTCATGAACTAGGCAGCAGCGGAGGCAAAGAGCTTGGCCACCTCATTCCACATGGCCCAGGGCTTGTCAATGAGATCAACGGTGTAGTTGATGTGATGCTGGCTGGGCAGAAACTCAAACTCGCACGGAATCTCCGAATCCACATACCCGTTAGTAAGCGCCATGGCAATCGTCCCTTTCACGTTGAGAGGCAGCGACGCGCTGTCTGGCGCCATGGCAGAAAGCTGGCGGAGACTCGCGGCCGTGTCAGCGAAGTTCATCAGGGTGAACCCGAGGCACGAGGAGCCCACATCAGGGGCCTGGTTGGGCAAACCACCCACGGTTACCATGGGCACTTTGTGGCGTTTCCCCAGGACGTGCGTGAGGATGGCGCAGGCAGAGAAGCAGTTTCCGTCCGACAGGACCAGGAAGGGCCGGCCGCCAAACACCGGCTGCCGCTCCTTCCCGGTGAATCTGTCGGTCATCTTGAACGGCGCCGAGTAGTTTCCAGCCGGGCCGGCCGCTGTGAAGCGGAGCTCGCGGAAAGGAGCGTAGCCGAACACGCTTGTGAGATTCGTTCCGTTGAGGTCGGAGTATGCGTCGATGAAGTAGAGAGAGGCCGCGTTGACAGCGAGCAGGCCGATGGCGTTCTCGGTGTACTGCGAGCCGATGATGAAATCCATGGGCATGGTGAAGTTTGCGTCGGGGACCTTGGCTGCCCCCATGAGCAGGCGGATGGCTGTGTATGATGCCACTGTGGATCCGCCACCGTTGCCCCGCACGTCTATGATGACCTGAGAGGCGTTGGACCTGAAGAAGGGAGGGGCATGGGGGGAGTGTGGGGGGACGCATGGGGGGACATATGGGGAGAGACATGGGGGAACGCATGGGGGGAGGCATGAGGTCAGGGCGCTAGCATGAGGGGAGTGTGGGGGGAGGCATGGGGGGGAGTGTGCGGGGAGGCATGGGGGGGAGTGTGCGGGGAGGCATGAGGGGGAGTGTGCGGGGAGGCATGGGAGGACGCACGCGGGAACACATGAGGGGACGCATGGGGAGCACATGGGGAGCACATGGGGAGCACATGGGGAGCACATGGGGAGCACATGGGGAGCACATGGGGAGCACATGGGGAGCACATGGGGAATGCTTGGAGGAATGCATGTGGGGGCAAGGGAGGAGACATGGAAAGGATCATGGGGCAATGAGCAAGAGGGGGAAACGAGGGCGGACAAGTGCTGATGTTAAAAGGAGTGACATGTCAGGTGCATAGCATGAGACAGTGTCGTGTGCCATTGTAACGAGCAGAAAGGCACAATGCTGGGAGTCGGGACCACATAAGGGTGGCTGCAGGTAAGGGGTGTAAGGAGGGAGGTACTGACGCTGCTGCGGTTTGAAGAGCCTTGGTGACCTCCTGGTCCATGACGTCATCCTTGATGCCGTCACTGAACGTGTGCAGCCAGATCACGGCCGTGCTGTTGTCCATCAGGTACACCTGCACAGCCCCCCCCCCCCCCCCCCCACACACACACACGCACACGCGCGCGCGGGCACACACACACACACACACACACACACACACACACACACACACACACACACGCACACGCGCGCGGGGGCACAGCACGCACACACACGCACACGTGCGCGCACACACACACAGACACACACGAAAACGAGTTGGACGCACATGATTGGTCTACGACTCTACGCAAGTGCAGCAGGCACCTCAAAACAGATCAGGTAATAGCACATCAGGTGGCAGTCAGTTACTGTTGCACACCAGCTGGCACACGCAAGCAAGTCACTTGATGACTCCAGCTGGCACACGCAAGCAAGTCACTTGATGACTCCAGCTGGCACACGCAAGCAAGTCACTTGAAGCTGTGCCACACACGTCAAGCCACAGACGTCATCACAAGCCAAGCACCCACCACGCAAGAACCCTATTACAACCACCAGCATTCACCCCAACGACTGAAGCCATCTCGCTCACCAGGAAAAGGTCATCCTTGGGTGAGATCCTCGTTACAGTCGGCCCCCGTACTGCACCAGAAGAGCCGTTTGCTGCTGCAGCAGAAAGCGACGCAATCTCGACATTCAGGTTGCCGCTGCCATCGCTGGTATCATCATATTAAACTGGATCGGGGTGGCGCTTGAGAAACTTGTAGATCACTGGGGTGTCTGCTGCATGTCCGTGTCCATGGAGTCCGAGCGTGCTTGCGTGCGCGCTAGTGCCGTCAGTGGCATTGCTTGATGGCTCCACGGCACAGAACGTCGCCCAGTATTCCGTGGCGTTTGTGAAAGCAGTCAGGTTTCCTGTCCCGATCCATGCCACCTGAACGTCCTCCGTCGAAGCACTCTTTCTGAGAGGTGCGGAGGGGAGCAGCACAGAGAGGATTATTGAGTCGACTCAAAAGTCACCATTTTCCTGTCCCGATCCATGCCACCTGAACGTCCTCCGTCGAAGCACTCTTTCTGAGAGGTGCAGTGCAGTGCAGAGGGGAGCAGCACAGAGAGGATAAATCTGGCAGCCGCGGAAGAGAGAGCGTGAGACATGTTCAAAACTGTACGTGAAGAAGAATGAGAGTGGCGAACGAAGGCAGCAAGCAAGAGAGGAAGTGAAAACAACGACACGCGTAGCGACAGGGAGAGCCGATAAGTAAGCATCGACTGTCTGTCACTCACTCGATTGCGAACGACACCAGTAAGGTGTCATTTTCGGGAGCATAGGCTCGCCGGGCGAAGTCGCCTGGCACCTGGACGATGCCTGTCTCCCCCGACGACCCATCCACTATATTCGCCGCGAAAGATTTCGTGAATTGCGCAGCCCGATTGCGAAACATGCCCCCTTCCTTGTCCGCCCAGTTCAGGATGAAATCTTCCGCCTTATCCCCGTTAATAGCCACCACCTGGGGCGTCGCATGAAACATGGAACATGGATTTGTAAAACAGGTGTGTAATGCATGCAAGCAGGGCGCTGCTGAATGAACCAGGTGCTTGAATGACATTAACGAACCGGGTGACTCTATCAGTTTGTTGCATCATTGCATGCATACCTGTCGGCCCTCGTAAAGACTGAAGTCAAAATTGTGCAGAACCTTTGCAACATGGTCCAACCCGTTGGGAGTGACATCTGATGGCAAGAGGGATTTTCAAAAGAGAGTTTATGGTTAAGCTTTTTTCGTGGTACGCTCTTTAGGATTGCTCTGCTTTGCAGCAGAATGCCGGGGAATACCATTGAACAACCCTAACTGTTAAGAGTGACACTTACATAGTGCAGCAGAGCAACCCACAGACAGTACTGCAACACTCACATCGGCGTGGCGCAACGCGGCAGAGTGAGGAAAATCTTCATTCACCAACCCTCACCGGGAGGGAATGCATTGAGCAACACTCACATCGGCGTGGCGCAACGCGAATGATCTGCTGCCCGTTTTCAACAACAGCCATGAGCGGCAACGGCAAGTCGTAACTGCTCCCTCCGAAGCAAGTCGGATGGAACGCGCTGTGCCCGTCGTTGAGCGCGTTGGTCGCGCGGAACGCCGCCATGTGCGCGTCAACCAGCCGAGGGTACTTTCCCGCTTTGGCGTTCGCGACGATTTTCCGCAGGTCCGCGACAATATCGATGCTGCTCGGCAGGTTGGTCTGGTCCGGCGAGTCAACGGCGATGTGCTTGTACACGTAGTGATTGTCGAACGCGTTCGCGATCGACAGCAGGTCCTCCACGTCGCAGTCCTTCCTGCCAGTGGGAGATCGGCCGTGGCAATTGTACAACCGCAAATCAGGCCAACATAAACGAGACCAGAAAGCGTGGAGTTCGGTTTCAGTTCAGTGGCGCATGAAAATAGATAGCGGAAAAGAAAAATATCAGCAAAACTCTTTCACGGTACATGAACGGTGGCGGTACAATACAGTACCTGAACAGGAACGTGGAGTGGCACGCGCGGAAGAGAGAAGGAGCAGCGAATCCTTGCCCTCCAGTCTTGTCCCCAAGTTTCCCCGCAGTGCGATTCAGCTCCGCTGCCAGCGCAGCACACGGGTCGGGCGCGGCTCCGGCTGCGATGAATCCGTTCAGAGGGGCGTCGTGGCACGATACCGCAGGAGCCGGCGCCGGCGCCGGCGCCGCCGGAGCTGGCGCCGGGACTGCTGAAACTGGCTGCCCAGCAGCCACCTCTGCCGGTCCGTCGGACTCCGCGGCAGTGAGAGTGGCGGGCTTCGCGGCGACGGGGAAGAGGCCGTCGTTCCAGAACCAGTGGCGGGCGGACGCGGAGGGCGCCTGGAGCAGCAATGCGAGGACGAGCACGGGGAGAAGCCCCGCCGCCGTGGAGAACGCGCCGCCGCGCCCTTGAGTGACGGCCCGTCGCGGGGCAGCCATTGCGCTGCGGCAGATGGGGGACTGGGTCGGCTACGAGTGCAAGAGAGTGTCAGCGGCGGTAGCAACGCACGCTACTTGTTGGTTAGGAGAGAAAACTGCGGGAATGAACTGTGAGGTGTGGATGGCCGAGCGGGTAAATATACTCCGTGGGAGAGCAGAGCAGGAGAGGCGAATTTGGTTCGGAGCTTCGGTGCGAGTCGGGTCGACGATTTTCCGCCGCCGCGACGCCGCCCATGGTGTGCGACGAGACCCGCTCGGTCGCCCAGTACTAGGGCAGGGGCGAAGTGTGGCGAGCGTACGAACCGAACCTGCCCTGGTGTGGAGAACGGACTCCAAAATCCCTGATTCGTCTTGCCCCTACGACACAGCCCCACTGCCTTGCGACGGACTAATGCCATGCGACCTCACTACAGATTGGAAGGGCGAGGCGGCTCCGCAAGTCTTTCGGATAGGTAGCTGGTGGGGAGATGTGCAAGACTTAGGAAGTCTTGTTCGGGTTGGTAGCTGGTGGCGAGAGGCGCAAGACTTTGCGTGACTCAGTGAGTTGTCTAGGGATCCGAGCGAGGGCGCATTCCTATGTATAGCGTCGCGAAAGGACGTGTCGAGGTTGATTGTGATGCCTGTTGGAGGTGAGGATGTTACAGCGCAAGTGCAAATTGTGTGGAGTCGTTCCTATCAATTCCCAAATGCGTGAGTCGCCACGATTTTTTCTCGTCGCGAGCGGCTGGAAATGTCGTCTTCGCACTCCGAGCACGGAGTTACCGTTTTTCGCAAGAATCAGTCTAACTGGACCCGGATCTGGAACTCGGCCACCTCCTGTGCGGAGTCTGCTCGTAAATATGGGCCCTGAGGTCTGAGGTTCTGGGAAAGCAGACGAAATAGAGTAACAGGTGTGTACAAAGTTGTTTTCTTCAAATAACACACATTGAAAGGAGTGACTTCAGAAAGGGTTACACGACGATACGACTGACGATCGCCGCAGAGACTTTCGTCAATCGCTTGACCACCCGCGAGGGCAGGCTGACTGATAGCCCAAGGACCACTCTCCTATTTTTGGCGGGCTGTCAGTCAGCCTACCACAAAAAAATAGGAGTTCTATGTAGGAATCTGTTGGTTTTCGCTCCTTCTCATACAGCTCATAATTGCACGTACCGCTCAAACGCGCTACCGACGTAGGTCGAAAACCGTCGTGGCAAGCTCGCACGTATTAGAGAAGCCGCTTGTTAAAAATCAATCTTCCCAGGTGCGTGCGTAACTGGATGTTCGCCTCCCCTTTCGCGTGTGTCGCACCCACCCTCGTCTCCCTCTCGCGACCGTCTCGCAGACTCGCGCGTTCAGATTTAGGGTTACCATTACGACTCAGCATGCGTGTTCAGAATTTGCGTAATCATACAGTCGTGATCCTTGTCACTCTTTTTCCACGTCTGTCGCGGTTAGCACGCGTTGTCATGTTACGAAACAGGAGTGACGACTAGTCGCGATTTCCGGCGTTGCGCGTCCGGCGTTGCACACCCGTGGCAAGAGATGAATAGGTTGTGCTCAAGTCGCGTTTCCAGACGTCTCAAGACACGTTTCCCCACCTTCCTCGCTGCAGTGGACGGACGGAAGCTCAAGACAAAGGCAAGACGAGGGACAAGCCGTGGAAGGCGGTTCAGTGAGAGCCAGCACGTGCAGGAGCGACAGCAGGATATAGAGTCGTATGGTGGGTGTCTCGCACGTGTATCGCATGCTGGAGATGTGTCGCATGGTAATGGGTGTATTGCATGGTGGGTGCATGTCGACTTGGTTTTTCCGGCTCCCCTGCTTTTCCTGTATTTTGCTCTCCCTTTCTTTAACCTCCCTCACAACAAACTTTTCGTGGCTGCCTTGGCACAATTCTCCTCACATTCATCTTACATTCGTCTCAGATTCTTCGCAGATTCTTCTCAGATTTGTCGCGGATTCTTTTCAGTTTTTTCCCAGATTCGTCTCAGATTTTTGCCGTCCCACCAAGCTGTTTCAAGGAGCTGTAGCTGTTTCCACCCCCACCACTTGCAGGTGTCGCAGTGGTGGCTTTTCAAGGAGCTCAAAGATGCACAGGGGCAGGCAGAGGTAGCAGCTGACGCTGACAACTCCTGTCTCCCCACCCACCCCCCTGTTCCAGTCTCGTTCATTCCACCCCAGGCGTCGCGGTCGCGGCTGTTCAAGGAGTTGAAGGAGGCACAGCGGGAGGCACGGGTTGCAGCTGACGCTGACAACCCCTATCTCCCCACCCACCCCTCTGTCTTAATCTCGTTCCATCCCTTCCTCTCGTTCATTCCATCACAGGCGTCGCGGTCGCGGCTGTTCAAGGAGTTGAAGGAGGCGCAGAGGGAGGCAAAGGGATCAGCCGATGCTGACATCATCCTGAGCTGTGATGAGAGCAACATCTACAGATGGACGGCCCTCATCAAGGTAGAGTTGAATGGACGGCTGTGATGAGAGCAACATCAACAGATGGATGGCCCTGATCAAGGTATGCAGGATGTGACGGTTGTGATGAGAGCAACGTTTACAGATGGACGTCTATTATCACTGATTCCGCATCTTCCTAAACCCCTTCGTAACTCAGCCCCCCCTGCTGTTTAGTACATTCAACCTATGATACGTAATGGCCCTGCCTCAAAGCCTAGGGTTGACTCGTGTGCCCCTTCCCTCCCTCCCCCCCCAACTCCCCCTCCCCCCCCTCTCCGCCTCTCGCTGCTGCCTACCCTTGACCCCGATGTTCTTTCCCCAGGGCCCAGCTGACACGCCTTATTACGGAGGGCAATTCACCCTCACCATCAACGTGCCCCAGCAGTACCCTCTTGTTCCGCCCCAAGTGCGGTTCGCTACCAAGGTCTTCCACCCCAACGTGCACTTCAAGGTCAGTCAACTCTGAGTCAACTCAAGTCAACCAAGATCTTCCACTCCCAAGTGCACTTCAAGGTCAGTCAACTCCGGGTCATCACATTTCGGCCAATGCACTTTATACATCATCCATATGGCATGGAATCAGCTTCAGTGTGTCTCTCACCTGACTCCCGTTTCTCTCACCTGACTCCCGTTTCTCTCACCTGACTCCCGTTTCTTTCTCTCACTCACCTACTCCTTCCCCTTGCACCCCCTCTTTCCCCCCCCCCTTTCCCTCTTCCACGCCCTACCACCCAGACGGGGGAGATCTGTTTGGACATCCTCAAGACCGCATGGAGCTCTGCCTGGTCCCTCACACCCGTGTGCACTCGAGGGACTTCATCCCATGCGTGTGCATCTCCGTCATCACTCTCACCCCTTCGTCCCCCTTACCTCCACTTCCTCCCCTTCCACGCCATGCCATGCAGACGGGGGAGATCTGTTTGGACATCCTCAAGACGGCATGGAGCCCAGCTTGGACCCTCACATCCGTGTGTCGCGCCATCATCACTCTCCTCTGCCACCCCGAGGCCGACAGCCCACTCAACTGCGACTCAGGTGAGTGAGACACATCAGGTCAATCAAGTCCACCGCTTCCAGTGGGAATTTTCTCGTGTCTCTGTGTCGCGCCATCATCACTCTCCTTTGCCACCCCGAGGCCGGCAGCCCACTCAACTGCAACTCAGGTGACTGACATTCCAGCCTTGGATCGATGTCGAGTCCAACAAGTCACGTTCAAAATGAACCCGTCACGTCCATGAGTCTTATCTCATGTCTCTCTCTCTCTCTTTCCCCCCCGTTGTGTACATACCCCCTCTCGTGTAAATACCCCCTCTCACGTACGTAACCCCTCTCGTGTGTTCCCTCCATGCGACCCCACCCCATTCCCCTGCAGGCAATCTGATTCGAGCAGGTGACAACCGGGGCTATTGCTCCATGGCTCGCATGTACACTAAACTCCACGCCATGCCGCCCGCTGCCAGATGAGGTTGATTTGGCTCACAGATCGACACCATGTTTCCCGCAACCAGATGAATGTTGAAGGTGTTGGGAGTTTCCTGGGGCTCACATGTACACTACATTCCACGCCACACCGCCTGCAGCAAGGAAACCTTGGAAGGCATCAGGTATATTGCATGGGTATATACAAGTTTTTTTTTATCTATGGTATGATGCGTGCATCATGATGGTCTTAAAGCGCCAATTTTGCTGCAGCTAGCTAGAATGTGAATGTGGCCTCTCATCTCTTTGCAAACGGAGGACCTGACCTGCTGCAATCTCTTTGCGAACGGAGCACCTGGCCTGCTGCAAAGCAGCCATTGCAACCTGCACTGTGCTGGGATTTACAGAGTAAGGAAGAAGCGCACAGACAGACCAAACAAACTTGGATACCGGCATCATCTGCATGTTTGCATCCGTTGAGAATGGCATTTGCTTGCATCCCCCTCAGAAGCGCTCAGTTTCGAGGCGCCTCGAGTGTTGTGAGAGTCGCAATACAGGTAGGTGTGTTGTACTGGCACCAACCATGGGTGAACATTGGAAACACCTCAGAATCCATGTTTGCAAAGCAAGCAGTGAGGTAGGTGTCAAGTGGCCAGGTGTCCTTTAACCAGGTGGCATTTACCCACGTGTCATAGGTGTCATTTGACCAGGTGTCACTTGGAGAGTTGCCTCTCTAAATCCTCCAGAGATATTGGTGCATGTAGCTGTGTGGGGGGTTGGTGATGGGGAGTGGATATGGGAGAGAAAGGGGATGGAGAATAGAGTGCATGGAATATAGCACGGCGGCCTGTGGCATGGATGTATGGTAGCATGGTAGCGTGGATAACATGGTGGCATGAAGGCACCATGGCATGGCATGGGTTGTGTAAGGATCATGATGTGGCATGGTAACGTAACATGCCTGCCTTGACAGATTGCAAAGCCAATTGTCAGGGTCTTCACAACCCCAACAGCTGATACCTCCCTGACAGCACTATCTCCCAAACAACCCTCCCTCACATCCCCTTACCTCCTTAGCGATCCTCAGCCAATCACAGGCTCTTGCAGGCCCATCACCAGCCTTGGGAACTCCGTCATGGTTCCAATAGGCGAAAGAGGAGAATCGCCCCACAGTCTGCCACTGTGCTGCATGGGGAAAACCAGCTGTCACCTCCGTTCCTTCCTCCTCTGCCTCTGCCCTCCCATCTGCCTCTGATTCTCCTACCCCCTGCCCTCTTTCCTCGCTGCTGGTCCTTTCCGTTTCCTGTCTCGTCCTCGCAACGTCCGTGGCTTGCCGTTTAGAGGGAGGTTCAACAACACCTGCTGCTGCTGCTTCTGTTCTTACCTTCTCCATTTTCTCCAATATGAGGCCTGGAGAGCAGAGAGGAGATAAGGACTGCAGGGGACCTTGAGAATTAGGGTTTCATTAGCAGGCTGATGTTGAAGTTGGAATATTCAAGGGGAAGCGTATGAAAGAAAGGGAAACGCAATCGCTAGACTTTCATCGCATCACCTGTATAGCCGTCAGGAAGGGTGAGGCGCCTTCCCAAAAGCCTCCTGCCTCTAAACGCGGCTTCCAACGGTACTGTGCCATCCGTCATAGTCACATCTGTGAAGATGCCAGCAAGGTCGGAGGGGATGGTCAGAATGTTGAGCTATAGCGAATCGTGTGAAACTTCGAATAAAGCCACCAGAACAAAGTGGAGCCGCCGCTAAAAAATCAAGGTAAGAATGTCCCACCCTTGGCCTCGATTGGACGGAAAAAACGCGACACGCCAGCTGGTCCGTTGTGCTCAATGCAGCAGGGCAGAAGATGCACGTCAACGCCAACTTCTGGCTCAGAAACTGACGTCTGACAGTCTCGAGGCTGAGAGGTGCCGCTGATCACCCTAATTTCGTCGGTTATGTCCATCGCTGGCGGAAAGTAGACGAACGAAGCGGAGCGCCAATACAGTGCGCTTATGGTCTGATCGACAATGAGTTGCGACTAGGGAAGGAGATGAGTACGTGCGGATCCCAAGGAAGTGGAAGTTGTGGGATTTCCCTGACTGCACTGGCATCTCGGACAGGTGGGTAACCAGATAACGTGCGCGAACTCTCACGGACGCTTGTGGCGAAAGTTCCTGCTATTTTTAGCTATTCATTAAATACAGGTGGTTACGAAGACCTGGTTTCACTACTGAATGTGGTTTTTTTTTTTTTGGGTAGCGAAGCAACCTATTACGATCGACTTGGCCAGTTTTTTTTTCACATTTTCACATTTTATTTATTTAAAATAAAATATGAAAATTAAAAAAAAAACTGATTTTCCTAATTGATAGCTACGGAAACTGTAGGAGGTCCTGTCTAGTTCAATTATACTAACGTGGTGATACCGATTTTTTTAGACAACTAGGTTATTTCTGTGATTTACTTGGCTGTGATTTACTACCGTATAATATGCACATAATATGATGAGATGAATATAATGATCGGTGAATGTAGATGAATATATTGATATTATATGAAATATATTGTGATATGATACGATATGATAAATGATAAATGCATGCCTTATGTTCGATACGAATAATGCTTACATATTACTGACAATCTATGATGCATATTTATAATGATAGAGAGAAAGCTAACGACCCAAAAACTATGCTACCGCATCCCCCGCCTAGCATGTCGGGGAGTTGATAGCATAATCTTTGAACAATCAGCAGTCACATGGGACAACACAATCTGTGAACTCCAAAAAGATGGTCAACTCTATCATCTCCAGTTCAAGTGGGCTCCCGACAAGCGCGCCAATGAACCTTTTGGTAAAGATGATAGAGCCGATTCACCTTTTTTAAATTCAAAGACATGCATTGTTATTGCAATGATGGATGAATGCACACTCAGACAAGCAAACACATTCACAACAACCAAACGCATGCACAACAAAAAAACGAGCCGAAAACCCACGATAAGACATAAAAGATGCAAAACAAAATAAAGATGGCAATATGGGAAATCCTATAAGTGACAACTACAAATTGTCCACATTGCACTCGTCTTCTTGATCAGCAAAACTCCTGAAAACAAAAACAAAGTAGATAAAGAGAAAAAGAAATCATAGGAAAGTGGTAAATATAAATAATCAGGACCAAGAGAGAGGGAACATGAGAGAGAGAGAACGAGAGAGAGAGAACGAGAGAACAAGAACGAGAAAACGAGAGAGAAAGAGAACGAGAGAGAGAGAACGAGAGAGAGAGAGAGAACGAGAGAACAAGAATGAGAAAACGAGAGAGAAAGAGAACGAGAGAGAGAGAGAACAAGAGAGAGAACGAGAGAGAGAACGAGAGAGAGAGAACGAGAGAGAGAGAGAGAGAACGAGAGAGAGATCGAGAGAGAGAGGACGAGAGAGGGAGAACGAGAGAGAGAGATCGAGAGAGAAAGAAAACGAGAGAGAACGAGAGAGAGAGAACGATAGAGAGAAAACGAGAAACGAGAGGGAGAGAACGAGAGAGGGAACGAGCGAGAGAGAACGAGGGTGAACGATCGAGAGCGAGAGCGAGAGTACGAGAGTGAAATAACGAGAGAGAGAGAGAGAGAAGAGAGAGAGAACGAGAAAACGAGGGAGAACGAGAGAACGAGAGAAAGAGAGAACAAGAGAGAGAGAGAGAGAGAGAGAGAGAGAGAGAGAGAGAGAACGCGAGAGAGAGAGAGAAAACGGGAGAGAAAGAACGAGGGAGAACGAACGAGAGAACGAGAAAGAACTAGACAACGAGAGAACGAGAAAGAGAACGAGAAAGAGAATGCTCCAACCTAATAATTTAACTCTCTGAACATAATTGTTAATAATCATGTCAAATTTCAATTAAGGAAGAGGAATAAATCAAGAAACAGCGTACGGAAGAAGACAAAAGTAAGAGCAAGAGCTGAAAAGAGCAAGCAAGTAGAATGTAAATCGAAATAAAGGAGAGAAGAAGATGGGAAGAAGTGGAGAGAAGGAGAGGGAAGGAGAGAACAAAAGTACGGTGCATAACCTAGGAAGAAAGCGAGGTTAAGAAACAAAATACGTCTAGATCTCGTTTAAAAAAAAACAACTCTCAACCAAATGAGCTAAACTAGAACCCACTCTCAACTAGAATGAACTTCAGAATAGAGAGAATGAGGCTTACCTTAACTAGGAGTTATAGTCTGAGTGGTGTGAGTGGCGTGAGGGACAGGGAGAAGCTAGAGTAGTCTGACTAGGTAGAGAAACGGAGCAAAAAGACATTTGACGAAACCCTAGAATGGGACGTTTTTGTTTCATTAAAGATAACACCAAAAACGAATTGTATAGCACAGCTCTGTCGAAGCCGCGTTTCATCGCAAAGGTCGGGAGTTCGAGTCTGGTCATGGACATTGTTTCGGTAGAAAAGGGCTTTTCCTTTCTGAAGCGTTTTTTTGTTTCAGATTTTCAGTCACCCTAAAACCAAATCATATGAACACAACAAGAATAACTTCCCCTAAACAACCACACCCATCTGTTATGTACACCCTTTCATTTGTATACTCCCATATTATATGAAACATGTATCTATGAATAGCAATGATTCAGCAAATATCAAAGTCATGTTACGATATTATATAATTCTCACTATAGATCAGATGTATCTAAAAATAACAGTGTAATGTTGCTTCGCAACCCTAAGACGATTTCGTCGCCTCTTGTTTTGGGTTGCGAAGCAACCCTTTACAATCGATTTTGCCAAATTTTATTTTCACATTTATATTTATTAAAACATGAAAATAAAATTCGTAAACCACAGTAATACCCTTCCCATACTGTGCATGTTGAGCAGTTTTAGATATTGTTCACTGTCTTTTGGGGAATGATTTTCCTTCATTGTAATAGTTTGTTGTCCTGTTTGCAGTATATTTTTGCAGTATATTTTCGGTGCAATGATAATTACTTGAGTCATGAATTCCACACGTATGCTTATATGAATGTAATGAAACAAGTGGAATAGATGCTTATGCATGGAGAATGCTTTAGTATGCATAACGTATAATGTGGAATATAAAAACGCACGCGTGCATGATGGTAAATGGATAAAAATGCGTGATAGTTAACAACCCAAAAGCTAAGCTACCGCATCCCCTGCCTAGCATGGGGGGGAGGTCAATAGCTTAGTTTTTGAATAATCAACTACCACATGAAACAACACAATCTGTGAAGTCAAAAAACGAAGTCAACTCTATCAAATCCAGTTCGAAGTGGTCGCACACGAGTCACTGAGTGCGCCAATGAACCTTTTGTGAAATGATAGACCTGAGCTTCCTTTTTTAAAATCACAGACATGCATTGTTATTGCAATGGATATGAATCAATGCATACAACCACACCACACACACACACATACAAATGCATATACAAGATCACACAGATTCACGCAAACACAAAAGCTCAATGCACAAACTGTAAAAACAATCAAACATCAATACAATACAATACCATACAAACAAGCACCACAACTGCTATCTTTCCACTTCTAAAATTGAACATGCCTTCCCGAAATGTACACCAAAGCCTAGGGGGGGAGGAAAGGGAGAAACAGAAAGGGTGAAAAGAGAAGGGAGGGGGGGAATGTCAGATTTATATGACTTAGCTGCTGTAGGCTATAGTGGGGTAGCACATATGGGGTACAGCTTTCTAGGGTTTGTACTTGTACCCAACTTTCCCTTAGTCTTCTCATTCCTCGTTCATTTTCACATGGTATAGAGCAGGTTCCCCTGTGGGAACTGTTCCTAGGGCCCACCAACTTTTTTTTCCTGCCCGGAGCGCGCTCAGCCTCTGCCCGAGTCGCGCTCCCCTCTCACGGCCCCGTCGCGCCGCCCTTACGACCCCGTCGCGCCGCCTCAGCGGCCCCGTCGCGTTGCGCCTCCCTAGCGGCCCCGTCGCGTCGCCCTTGCGACCCCGTCGCGCCGCCCTCGCGGTCCCGTCGCGTCGCGCCGCCCTCGCGGCCCTTTCGCGCCGCCCTCGCGGCCCTTTCGCGCCGCCCTCGCGGCCTCCTCGAGCCGCCCTCGCGACCCCTCCACGCCGCCCTCACGGCCCCGTTGCCTACCCTTGCGGCCCCGGCGCCACCCTTCCCGGCCCCGGCGCCGCCCTTCCCGGCCCCGGCGCCGCCCTTCCCGGCCCCGGCGCCGCCTCTGCTGGCCCCGTCGCCCCACCCTTGCGACCCCGCGGCCCCACCCTTAAGGCGCCGGTCGCCACCCTTCGTGGCCCCGCCGCCGCCCTCAGCGGCCTCGTCGCCGCCCCACCCGGCCCCGCCGCCGTCCCCACGCGGCCCCGCCGTCACCACCGAGCCGCCGGCGCCGCTGAGCCGCCGATCTACCGAG